CTCCTTGTGCCAGCAGATGCTTCTGCTTCCCAGCTGCCCCCAGCATGGATCCTGCCTGTGGGTGCAGCTGGAGTGAGCACAGGGAAAGCTCTGCAGCTGTTCCTCTTCCTGTCTCACAGGAGGCAGCGGCCACGTGGAGCAACTTGCAGGCCATGTTTGACCTATGGGTGTCTTTTTTATCCTTCACTTTTTTATCCTTCACTAGTGATGACACCATCACCATCTCAAACCCTACGTGACTCAGTTTGTGACGTGCTGAGCAGGCTCCAGATGTGAACCTGGAGGAAACACAGTGCTACTGCTAAATCCTACCTGGGCTCACCACATTGCTCCAGTGGGTCACAGGTTTCTGCTTCTGTGCATGAAGACAAGGGAATCTCAGGTTTTGATTCACTCTCAAGTTAATAAAACCCATCATCTATGCATGTGGATGGCTCTGGAAGAATGTGGCAGACACGGAAGACTTGAGAACTTAAACCTACTGTATGCACACCTCATCATAATGGTTCAGTTTGTTTTGTGGGATCAGATCACTTGATATTAGTAAAAGGAAAAAATAACAGACCTGAGACAACCTTAAGTGCTTAAAATAATAATAAAGAAAATAAATTCAAGGTTATTGATCTATTATAAACCTAGTAATGTAAGTAAGTGCTTACTGTCTGTTTTCACTTTCTCAAAGCTGTGTCTTTCTACACTGAAAAAGTCATGAATCCTCTGTTGCATTTTCAGGTCTGGAAGCCACATACATTTCAGAGCATTCCTTGGGGTAAGCCGGAGCTCACCCTAGGTCGGGGGTGGCTCCATGTGGTGGAAAAATCTCTCCTCCAACCCGTGCTTTCAAAGAAAGGCTCAGTAGTGTTCTGTTGTCCGGTCTCAAGGCAGTTTACTGCAAGTTATCTAAAAGATTTTCTTCTCTGGCTGCTGTGGTTTGCTCAGCAGCTCAGGCAGAGGCACACACACCCCCTGACATCCTCTCTGACTCCCGACTGCTTCTTCTCCCCCCACCCAGGGCTGCTGCTCTCTTTTATATGGTACATTATGTGTTACATATTTACAGTTTTTCCCCAATGCCTATTACCTATATTAAATGGTGCTTTTCTACTCTAAACCAATCTGTGAGTGCCAACATCACCAAGAATGTGGAGGTAAGGAAGAAGAAAGAGGAAGAACAGGGGCAGGCCCAAATCCCTCCATTTTAAACTTCTGACCCCATGTACAAAACCAAAACCCCCTGTACAGCCCTCAAAAATTCTTCCCTCTACTTTGTGACTACTTCTACTATAATATCTAAACTTTTGTGACTTCTTGTCGTTCCTGCAAGGTTGGTAAATCATTCCATGGTTCAAACCCAAAATCACAGATGTTTCCAGCTGCCTGCCAGGTCTCAAATGCTTCTGACCTGGGCCCGGAACATCCAAAAATGTCTGAGGGACATTTTGAGTTCTGACAGGGGTAGATTATAGGTAAGTCTGAGAGGGTCTGACTTGTGACACAGAAAATTTGCCAGCTTTCATAGTTTTGTGTCAAACCCAGCTCATGGGCTGTGGGACAGGTAGGTGGAGAACAGTAGGCACAGTACTCCCAAAAAAGCTTCTCCCTGCTCCTTAGGGAACACGAGTCCTCAGCCAAGGGATTAGGGCACTGAAAGATGAAACACAGGGTAGCAGTAGAGTCTTTGCCTGAAGCAGAAACTATGAATATTATTAGATAAAATAAGTTCTTAGGATAGGAATGGGAATCTGAGTTTTCACTCTTTCCATGAAAATATTTAAATCTTCTTGATGAACTGGAATTTAAAATCATCCTTGAAATCATTGACCACTTCCTAGCATACCTTGCTTTAGCACACTATATTTTGTAGCTCCTATTTCAAGAAGAAAAGTAATTTTTCTGAGAACTACCTTTGAAATACTCAGCTTTATGTTGCCATAGCTCCTTTGCAAAACTGCCTGTAGTGGTAACAAGTCTATGCAAGGTCCTACGCATCACTCAGTCTTACAGCATTTTATTGACAATGCAGGAGAGACACAAGTGTTATTTCAAAAGGCATTTGCTGTTCTAATAAAACAAAATATCCAAGTATGAAAAGTACTATATGAAGCATACAACATCTACAGCTACACAGAAAAATGAAAATGAAATCTATGGAACTGTGATCAAAGGAAAAATATCATTCACTTATAATTATAAAGTAAAAAGAATAAAAAATGCTTGCTCGGTTTTGGTTTACAGACCTGATGGTTGAGAAAGGGAAGCTCATATGTCCAACACTTTTTAAAAAAAAATAAAATTACACAAATATTAGAACTTTTAACACACCAGAATATTCTCAAAGTTGAATTAAACTATAGTTCACCTTTCAGCATTTTACAAAAGACACTGTTAAAGTAAATGGTGCTAATTTAGTTCGAGGGGGAAATGACCTGATTGACAGCTGTGGTGAATTTTGTTCAGAAAACAGTATTAGAAAGGCAAAATTCACTGAGTTGTCATCATCAATTCACCTTACCTAGAAAGAGCTATCAGAGAGGTAATTACTGCGTCAAACCTACTCGCATTTTTTATCTTTTTTTGGTCATATGGCTTCTGCCTCACTGGGTTTTAGATTGATACTGTTGAGCTCATTGCATCTAGTCCAGCAAGCAGGCATCGTAGCACACTGGCCAGAATTCTCTGGGGAGTTGACAGATCCCAGATCAAATAGTGGCACGTTTTTTGCTCTCAGAAGAGTAGGAAACATCTGTGGATGGCCAGAGGTGCAGCACAACAGCAAAGCAGTTGGTGTGGACAGACATCCCATGCCTGTGCCATGCCCACATCCATGACTGTGTCCATGCCCATGCCCTGCTCGGGCATGCAGCTGCTCAGACCAGCTCAGCCCTGCTCCAGACCTGTGCCAGGGCTTGGCCTGGGCCAGGGATGCCAGGGTTGGGCACTCTGAGCCTGCAAAGGAACCTGGATTGGATACTCTGACCCTGTGCCACAGCGTGATCCATGGCACACGACATTGGGGAGACCTCTAAATTTGCTCCCTACAAGACATGCTCCTGGTACAAGCTGGTGGGCTGACTGTCCTGGCTCCTCCACACCCCTTCAGCTACAGGTGCCCTTCACTGGAATTACCTGAAGGTGCACAGACACCATAGGGGCCAAATTCCTGAATAACCAGGCAAGCGTTAAGGTTTGATTGAAATATTTCCTTTGGATTTGTACTGGATGCAGGTGCCAAGGGGGGGGGGGTCTCTGTGAGGACTGGCTGGAGCTGCTCCATGCCCAGCACAGCTGATTCCAGACAACCCCAACTGACCCACATGTGAGAAGGGGCTGACAGTGCCAAACAGAGACAGAAAACAAAAAGGGCCAGAAACAGAAGAGGAGAGGTCAGAAGAACAGCAGGAGGAGGAAGAAGAGGAGGTTGTACCTAGCACCAGACAAGGCACCCACTTCAGCCATTCTCAAGGGAGCTGCCACCCTGGAGAGCCCACGCTGGAGCAGGGGAAAGATGTGAGAAGGAGAAAACCTCAGAGAGAAACAGCTGGTTTCACTCTGTGACCCCCTGGTCTGTCTGCACTGCTCAGGTGGAGGAGTCTGAGGAGAACATGGGAAGCTGACCCTGGGAAAAGGAGGGGAATTGCTATTTTCAAATTTGTATGCACATAATTTTTGTTTACTAGTACCTGCATTGGCAATTAATACTTATTTTAATTGACAATTTATTCCATGGTTGACACAAAGGTAATTGATGTCCCTGTCCTTATCTGAACACATGAACCGTCTTATTCTTGCTTTTCCTATTTTCTTCCCCTCTGAGTGAAGCATCTGAGCAGCTGGGTGGGATTTTGGCTGTCAGCCAAGGCTAACCCACCACAGATTTATTTTATTTTAAGTAAAAATTACTCTAAAATACCTACTTTGTGTGGGATTATTTTTGTTGTTGTTTTTGCTCTGGGGCATTTGCAAATATTCAAATAATTCCAGCTAAAAGAAGAGTACTCTTAGTTTGGGATGTTTTGCATTTGAATAAAAGCATTCTCAAAAAATTGCCCCTGATGGATAAAAGAGAAAGTTCTTCAAAGACGTCAAGTGAAATTAAGTTACTGAAAATGTTTTGTTAAGCTTTGAATGAGCCCCTTGGGGAAATTTCTAAGCAGAGCTTCTGATGCCTCCATGTTCTCTACAGGTTAAAAGAAAATTTAGAATTGAATTTGATGCTCTTTGAACCTAAAATCAATACAAACTCAGAATAACACTGTGGTGAAAAAGTGATTTTAATTCAAAACAGAAAGCAGAATGCATCCCTGGTCATTTTAGATTTAGAAAAATTAATTAACTTTGACACAAGTACAAGTGAGCTGGTTCATTGCATGTCTTTCGAAGTCCAAGACAATCTTCTTAACAATCTGCTTAGTATAATTGGAGTAAATGGAGAAATACATTTGAAAATGTCAGGATTGCAATCGATATAATTGACCAGAAAGGGGTAACAGCTTTGTTACTCCCTTATGCAGCCAATGAAATGCTCTATTTTATTGAGACTATCCCAGAGAGGTTTAAATTTAAAATTATAAGAAATATGGTCAGCAGCCTGCAGAAGATGAGATGGAATCCCATTCAGTTCCTGGAGTTCTCACTGCAGACAGAAGTTTTGATGATAGACTTTGAAAAAAAAAAAAAAATAAGGCTCTTGTCCCAGTGAGACATTAACTGATCTCAAATACCTTAGAGCTAATCAGTGCTAAGGATGCTAAAAGTTAATAGTTTTTTGCTGGAGTACTATGGCTTATCTACATTTCCTTGATACTTGAAAAAAAAATTTTGCATGTTCTTTGTACTGAAGATTAACCTTGTAAATATTCATGCTTAGATGAGGAATGGAAATACAGGATGAAGACACATGAAGAGCTGACAGTCACGTAGTGAGTTTGAATATAGATTAGAAGAAAACTGTTTCAAAGTGAAAACTAAAGTTTAAAAAGCCACAGTTCCATCACAAAATATTTTTTATCAGAATTTGCTTTTATTTTGGATATCTCACATTAATAATTTCACTTTTGGAAGCAACCTTTATTCTCCAAGTAAAATTTCAACTGTTAACTATTAAGGTGGTCTTTTTAACATCATCTTTGCCTCAAAGTGTCTTGATTTCTTCAAGTGAAAATGTGCTAATTTTGACAGTGAATGAGCTAAAAACTCAAAATGAAAATAAAATTGCCCAGTATGACAGAAACAAAAAAGTCTGTAATATGAATATCCTTCAGTTCTTTACATATGGGCTGTTTGTCATTGTTTGGTGTTCTAGTTGCTGTTCCTGTTAGAAGACAATATTAATTATAATGACCATGATTATTTTACAAAACCACAGTAAACCCCAGTCTTTCTTCAACGCAGAAATCTCACCAGAGCTGGCATTGTTTGTTTGTTTATCTTTGTTATGTTGGGTATTTTTGGGGTTCTTCAGCAGCACAGTATCCAGAAAGACTTGTCTTGGGTTTGTTCTGCAAGTGATGGTCAGCTGTTGTAGCTGTCTGCATCTGCTGTGTCTGTGCACTCAGAGAAGATCACTGGAGAGTGAATTGCTTCATGTGTGTGTCACAGCTGGAGGACAGTCCTTACGTTCACAGCCTCAGCAAGATGTTATCCAACTGTCAGAGTGACAGAGGAAACACTGAGAGGTGAAACAAAATCCATTTCCATGCCTATTTTGCCTTAATATGATTAAGCATATTTCTCCCCAGATAATTCTCCTCAAAAGCCCAGGTATGAATGAAATTAGGACACAGTTTTTGAGTAAAGACAATGAAATAGGTACACCGATCAGATACTGAGGCATTTGAGTGTTTTCCCTCTGTAATATATATAGAGACAAATTTTGAAGGCTTTATTCAGTGCTTAGCTGAAATTATGAAAGCTACAAACTGCTTCTCTGAAAAGGAAGTAAAGCAAAACCCACAAAAACCTCTATACAAGGATGTCCCTTCATGCCAGATGTGCACAGAAGCAAAAAGGTGGGTAGAGAGCAATTTTGTGGAGACATTAAAGCTTGCACTAAAATTTCTTAGACCTGAAAACAAAAATGCTTTAATTTGTTCCCTCTCCTGCCTTGTTATACTTCCATAACTATCTTCATACTGAAAGATAACAGTGGGACCCTTTCCCTTTCCCTTTCCCTTTCCCTTTCCCTTTCCCTTTCCCTTTCCCTTTCCCTTTCCCTTTCCCTTTCCCTTTCCCTTTCCCTTTCCCTTTCCCTTTCCCTTTCCCTTTCCCTTTCCCTTTCCGAATTTTGAAACATTTTCAGTTTCAATGTCACCCAGCTCTTTGATCCCACAAGATCACTTTATCAGTCTCACTGTTTAATTCTTCTCTCCAAGTCTGGTTCAGTATCAGAGACTTTCCTGAACTTTGTACAAATTTAGAAAGCTCTTGAAGACTGTAAAGGTATGAAAAACTATAAAGGTATAGGTACAAGGAATTTAAGTTTAAAATAGGATTTCTGAAGTGGAGGTCTGATAAATTAGCAGTCTTTGATCAGTTATTAACCTGAGTTCAGGAAGAAAATTCATAAAGTTTTGAAATACTGAGTACAAGAAATGGAAGTTTGAAGTATATGTAGCTGCTGAAAGTTTAAAAAGTATAATCCATAGAATAATTTAGAGTATGCCCAATGTCCCTAGTGGCAGTGATGACATTTTAATCTTTGGCAAAATTAAGGAGGTACTCTGGCAAACTTTTGGGATATTTGGCTGACTGCCTGACAGCTATTAATCTAACATTTCACATTGCCAACTGAAATTGAATGAAATAATGCTGTAAGTATTTCCCCCAGAAAATTTTATAGAAATAGATTTAAAAATAACAGCAAACTCCAAAGGAGCTCAGAATTTGTATTGAAAAATTGCTTTGCATACAGCCCAATGTTCTGTGGGAAAGGTACCTTAACACCACTTCTCTGATGAGCTGAGGTGGAGCCTCCTTATTCTAAGCCAGGAAAATCACCAAAGTGTGATTTCCTTTTTTAAATCTGTTTCCTCGCATACCTTACCCCACAGCTGAACCTGCTAGAGACTTCTATTCATGATCACTTACACATTTTATCAGACTTTTTCCCACTGTCTGAAGGATATAAATTACTGTCTGCCTCCTGGTTCAATCTAAGTAAAATATCATGTGTGAACAGTGATGCTTAATGATGACCAGATGTCAGCATCTCAAACTCTGACATCTTTCTTAAGACAATCTTTCAATACTGACTGACTCAAACATCATTTCCCTCTATAACTTTGGGAAAAGCACTCGTGGCACAAGCCCCACCATAAAACTCAAACAAACAAACAAAACTCCTCTGTGAATTAATTTTATCTGTCCAGTTTTGTCAGTCTAGATTTTAAATTTCCAAAACTTCTTAAGCTCCTCATGGAAGGTACAGGGAAAAGTAAACCTTCTGTACATTTTATAATCATGCCATAAATACTTAAATTTGGTAACTGACCATTTTAGGTGAAGAAATGAATTGTTGAAGAGCAATACGGGAAGAAAGCCAGGTATTTCCCAAAGAACCTTCTGTTCAGATTCAAACAATCCAGATACATATTTTATGCTGATTCTGTCCCCTTCTTACAGAAAAAAAAACCAAACAAACAACAAAAAAAACCCAAACAAACCCAAAACCAAAAAAAACCAAACCAAAAAAAAAAAAAAAACCCAAAAACCCCCAAAAACCCCCAAACCAGAAGGCAACTGGTCATATGAGTAAAGAGTAAAGAGCACCTTACATTTCTCCAAGATAAAGATTGTTTAGATCGACAGACTTGAGACCCTACAAAACTGTTCACTTCAACAGGAAAACATAGAGTTGTTCACCTGAAGGAATCAGGCAGACTTGAGAGGAAATATTTTCCTGTAACCAGTTGAAGTGAAACTCTCTTTGGAAATAGTTCCCAGAAAACAAAACATTTCATCTACCTAGAGAAAAAAATCTCCCCCAAAGGGACAACCCCTGAGTTTTCAAGCAAAAAGTATTTGGGCTGCACAAAGAGAACTAGATAAGATAAACTTACCACTGTGCCAGGTTCAAGATAGATATTTCACAAAAGAAATCTGGCCAGCCTTAGGGGTCGAGTCAGTGTGTCCTGCAGAGAGAGGTAACAAAGTGCATTCAGGTGTGACTCTGTATGCTACATGTTCATGGTGGATAGTGTGTGCCACTAAACCCAGTATGGTTTTTCCATGACTTTCGTCCCTTTCCTTTTCACCCCTGCATTTTTAATGAAGACAAGCATTTCTGAATGCATAGGTGAACTTAAATATTGTTCACCACATAACATGAACACTCCTGAGCCTGCACCTCTGATGTTGACTCTAAGAAGTGGCACCATTATTATGTACTGTCACTCATCATAAGCTGTGAGAATGCTTTTAGCTGAAAATAGATGCCTTTTTTGTGTAGTGAAGGACCACCAGTATCTCTCATTTACTGATTTACATATACTTCTTAGAACTTCTATAGAAGTTCTATATTGTTAATAGAATCAATTATATGCTCTTAAGGTATTTTAGTCCAGGTAGCAAAATGTTACCAGTTCAAATCCTCTTTAACATTTATACTAAATGCTATATAACTGTTCTGAGGGTTTTTATTTTTCTGTAAAAGTGTAATTTTATCTTTCTCAATATATGTGTTGACACTTAGTTATAGTTAAATTAAAATTCCTAATAATAAAAGCCTGTGATCACAGCAAAGCTTGCTGTTAATAGTTGTCCAGCCTGCTAGAATTCTGGTTTGCTATGTTCAACATGCAATGGAATAATGTCATCATTAGGAAGCTCTTTCCCATATAATTAATGAATTATTTAAGCACTATGGGATTGTTATTGAAGATCTTTTATAGTGCTTTGTCTAACATAAAGATACTACTATTAAAATAATTTAAGTAAAAAGGAATTCTCACACTGAAAAAAATTGTTGAAAAGGATTTATTAAATAAAATATTATTCAGGAACAAAAAGTCCATTTAGAATTGCTCAGGTTTGGCTATTTTCTCCAAACATGGGGTCTTGTTTGGAAAGATATATCTTATCTTCAGACAGTGAAATCTATAATAAAGAAATTAAGAAGAATCAACAAGACAAAAATGCAAATTCTTGCAAATAATGCATCCAATTTCCAGTCACAGAAGATTTAGAAAGTCAAGCTGTTGTCTTCTCAGGTGCCTGAAACATTAGGTGTTGCTAAGTGTTAAACATCCTCTGCATTAAAAGCCACAGATTGGAAAGGATCTTCAAAACTGCAAGGAAGAGGCCACCATTAGAAGGGTAGAGGTTTGAAGGACTGATAATTCCATAACAATGTCTATGGTTTCCTCTGCAGGAGGAAGCAATTCTATTTGAAGAATATCACGAAATTATGCACCATTCAGTTAAAGCAATACAAGAAGTATCAAAATGTATGATAAAATACCTAAAAAGGGAGGCAATCATCAGAACAAAATCAATCCTCACAACCCCCAGTGTTGCACTTTTGTAGTGCTTTTGATCCTACAAATATCACATGTACATCATGAAGGACCCAAGAAAAGGTATGACTTGAAATCCACCATGGGCTCGAGGCCAAAATGATGGAAAGTTGTGTAAGCAGTGGCTGGATATTCAACACTTTGACTGGGAGGTTCTGGCCAAGAATAGTCTAATCAGCAATCTCATTAACACTGCTGTTAATTAAGAAGGCTAACTACATCAGATTTATCATCTTTCAGTTTTTTATTCCAGTATCCTCTTCAAAAAGAAAATGTGAATAGATTTTGGGAGCAACATAATGCAACTGCATTTGTGCCAAGGGACATGATAGAGACTAAATGGATTCCTTTGGGTTGAGACTTCAAAGTAGTTCCTGAAAGAAATTTAGTCCAACTGATTCTAAATATAGAATTGTAGCTCTGACCTTTAGATGTGAATTTCTATGTTTTTATTTTAGACTTAACATCCTTGCAAGGGTAGAGCAAGTTGGATATGTTTTAGGGGTCAAAAATAAGAAAAAAGCTGGTATCTGGCAATATAAAGGGACTCTAACCAGCCCAACACAAAGTTAAAAATAGATAATGGTGACCAGAAAACATCTAGGATTTTAGCCAAGGGGTATGTGTGCATGAGGTGGTTAGGGTACTGTAGATAGCCCATGATAATATGTTTATGTCTTGCCAGCAAGTTGCTTTCAGGTTATATGAAATTTCCATATGATTCTGATGGAAGTATTATTCCATCTGATTCACAGGGTCCTCCTGGATGAGATAAAGGTAAAACTGTACACTGTGGAGAAGGAATAAAAAACTGATAGTCATTGTTCACTGTGATTTTTTCTATGCTGGTGTTTTCTCTTAAGCAGAGGAAGCTAAATAATTCTAATCACTTAGTTCTTCTTTAAAGAGTTTTTACTATCATTTGTATAGGAACTCTGCATAGAGCCCCTATTCTGTAAATGGCTCTATGCAAGGAAGTGCACATACAGCTGACCAGGAAGGAGATGTAAAGATTAATTTATTTGAATTACAGAATTGGGGGGGAAAGCTCCTACTTCTCACATCCTCACAGATGCCTCTTCTTGCACTATTTTAAAAGGTAAGTTGAAATAAGGTTACAAGAACTGTTTCTAGGAAGTCAAATAAAAAGCTACTAGAGTTCATCCAGTATGGAGACTTCATGAGCACAATCAATAAAACCCAAACTAGTAGTTTTAAACATATCAAGTGATTACTTGTTTTAGTAGAGGTTTTACAGACTTCATAGCAGGTGCATATTTGCTCTAGTGTTGCTTTTTCTTTCAGAGTGAAGAAATTTCAGACTAATCTCTTAATATAGAAACTCTCTAGAAATTACTTTATATTAGTTATGTTCCCCTTGTCTGTTAAGTGCAAACAAATACCCAGATCTGTTATTCTCCTGTGATTTCAGTTGTGTTCTTTGAAATGACGTGCCAACACTGTGAGTGACATATCAATCCTCTGGTAATTTGCCATTGATAGATTATTCTTTAATTAAAGCTTCAATATGGATTTTCTTGTACTCGGGAACAGCAGCTTTACAGTTTTATCTGGAGGCATTAGGCAACAGTGCAGATCTATAGATGTCATTTAACATAAAGATATTTAAATACATATTTTAATATATTTCAATCAAATAAATATTTGTTATACCTTCATCTTTGTTAAATAGAGAGTAATTTTAAGCCCAAAATTTAAACACTTTCCTAGGCTAAAAATACTGATGCAAATCAATATGTGTTTCAGTAGACTGGTGTTGGTGCATGTCTGTTCAACATACTGCTATCTGATCTCATGACTTGTAATGTTAATAACAAAATCAATCAAGTGCCACAAAAGTGAATTGAAAGACTACTATAGCCAAATTTGAAAATAGAATTAAGAACCACAAAACTGATTAGCACTGCATAACCTTGAGACCACTTGAACTCCACAAAGGCTGTGATTTTTTTTTTTAGAGAGAGAGACTCATCGAAGTATTTTTAGACTATGACAGGATCAAGCTCATCACAAAATAAAGTGGAAGACACACTTGTTTAAAAGATGGATGCAGTCATCCATCTAAGGCTGTGATTTACATCTCCTTAACATAAAATAATTTGAAATCATCTGTCTCAAAACAAGCAAGCAAACAAACAAGCCTCCAAAACTCCCAAATAAATAAATAAAAAAATAGTCAAAAAAAAGGAGTGATACAGGTAGTTTTCAAAATAAGGTGCTAGGTGACCTAAGAAGCATGTTGCCTTTTTTGAGCTCTGCATTTTGCCAGCCGTCCCAGCCAGGGACTTCTTAACAAAGGAACATTTTTCCAGTGAATTCATTCCTAAGTAGCAGCTAGTTTTCTTTCTGTTTTTTTAACTTGCCTGTCTCAAGGTGATGAGTTGGGAGTGAAAGAACTGGCAGATTTTCTCTTCACAGACAGGTGTGATTTAGGGGTATTATTTCTATTTTCAGTATACTGTGAATCACACAGATTTGGAGTGCAACGCTTGCACAAAATGTAATGAGTCAAAGTCTTAATAAATATTTATCTCTAGTGCAAAACTAAATAAACTATAGGTCCAGAGTACTGTAACCTTTCATTAAAAAATGTGAACTAGCCCCCACAGGACATGTCAGCTTCTCATACATCATATGAAATTCAACACAAACATTCAGGAGCAGTAGTATGCTTTGCAGCACTTATTAAACTTGCTCCTTTATCCTCCCTCCTTATGATTCTTCTAATAATGTATTATATGGCAAAAGATTATTGGGTTTGTGTTGGCTTTTTTTAATGAAAAATTCACAAAATATGTGCCATGGAGACATGAGAAAATTACATAGTTGTTAGGAGAGAGTGTGGAACCTATAATGCAACACAACCTAACTGGTGTGCAAGTTCCCTTCCTGACTGATTTCTGTCAAAATCCTAATTCTTATCTTGTTTCTTTCCAGCTTCCTTTGGCAATTTTATTCTGCATAGAAAGTATTCCATTTGTCAAAGGTTAATAAATAAATAGTGGTTAGTAAATAACTAGAGCATGCTTGTAGTTATCAATAATTATTTAACATTTAATAATGAACTGTTTCTTAAAACACATGTTCATCTTCTCCTAACATTTTAATTAAAGTGTGATTTATAAATAATCCCCAAGAAATTACCTATTCCAGTTTATGAGGTAGTCTTAATTCTCTAAGGTGTTTATGATTTCCAGAATTCTGCAACCATGCTCACTCTGTTTTGGACATCAAAAATATATTAAACCCATATCCTTTTGTATTTGTTGCCTGGTTTCCTTTGTCTGCTTCCACTTCTCTTTTTTACCATCCTTTTCTGAACATTCATTGTGCTTCTTCAGCCAAAGACCCCACTTTAATTTATACTGGCTGCCTTACCCACAAGTCATTCCCTTCTGGTGAGACAATATCTTTTTGCTGGAGACAGAAAAAAAAACATAAAAAAGGGGGGGCGGGGGGGTGGTAAAGGAAGAAAATTAAAAATGTGTTTTATATTATTGGGCTGCTGCCAGCAGCACAAAATAGCTTATAACCTGGCCTGGTAGCAGTCTGAAAAGGGTAAGTAAGCTTCAAGCACAGTCTTCACATTAGAAATA